AAATTTTCATTTTTTCTGAAAAGGTGGTGTCTACTTACTTGTGACCACGATGTGTACTTTTGAAAAAATTATCATTACAGCTAAAACTGATATGGTCACAACACTATAAGCGAGGTAAGCAACTTCCAGATTAAAGATTCATGGTGATTACACCAAGAGAAGTCACGCCACTCGGAACATCCTAACGATCATTGCTATAAACCAATCATATTAATTCTTATTAGCTGCTAAACTTCGTATCAGCAAGATAAATATAATCAATCAGATCTTTGTGTGTTTAATGAAGTAAATATCCGTTTCGTTTGATTTCTCAAAAATAATTAATTAAAACTCATCTGTTCAGAAGTTATCAGTTCATTAGCTTTGAATGTAAGTTACATAAATTGTATAATACAAGCTGTAAGTAAAAGATAACAACAACGTATGTCAATATGATGTGTCAACGTGGTTGCTAGGTGTAGTTTCTAGACATATGGTGTATTTTAAAATGGATTCACATGCGTTTTTATTTATTTATGGCATGCCTGCCTATACATTCGCCGAAGATTAAAAACTTTGTAAAATCCTAGGCGTTTAAAACAAGCAATCTCTGGTCTCAAGGAAGGTTATGGTTTACCCATTTCCATGGTTCACAATGGAAAAGAAATAAGATAAACTCCAGTTTAGAACATCTTTTATTGGAAGTTATTTGTTCTTGTGTAGCTTTTGGAAAGAAAGTGATCAAGTCTTAGTGGTTAAATGTAAATGCTGCATAGAAACTGTTTGCTGTCTTTTTTAAGGGTATTAAAGTGTTGACAAACCCAGAAAAACAATAGAGATATATTACAAATAAGCTTAGATTGCTGGTATATTGCAGGTACCTTGATCCCCCACAGAAAAGTATGAAGTATCCATAATACAGCGGGCTCCGAAAATGCTATGCAGAGAAATGAACGTGGATAGCAAGGAAAAACATGCAAACACAAGTGTACACATAAAGCAAAATATTTATTCATATAATAACAAACTGTGCTGGGATTTTGCATATTACTGGCAATCTTCTAAATTCATTGAAATGACTTCTGGCTGTTGGAACAGAAAGAAAGGATAGATCAAAATAGTGACGATACTACACTGTGAAATGGCCCGGTATGGCCACCGAATAGTGGGATTGACCGTCATATTATAACGCCTTCCCCCGGCTGAAAGGGCGAGCATGTTTAGTGGGGCGGGGATTGGAACCCACGACCCTCAGATTGCGAGTCGAGTGCTCTAACCACCCTATTTACATCATGCCCCAGATAAAAGAAGCTTAAACTACCAATTATATCATGACCTCATACATAAGAATATGAAAGCTCTTAACTCGATTATAATATATCGTGATCTTTATGTTTTTTACTTTCCGTAGAATATCAGCTCATATATCCATAATTTAGCAGTGTAAGGCAGCTAGTCATCACCACCCACCGCCAACTCTTGGGCTACTCTTTTACCACATGATGTAAATAGAATATGAAGATTATTTTTTCAAATGATGTTATGATTTAAACAGAAAACTGAGCTAGCTTCTTGCATCTGGTCTGTTAGGTCCAGTTTTTCCATATTTTATAACATTTAATGCGCATTTGATTAGTCTTTCATCGCTAACTGACCAATACGTCTGCATAAAGTTATTGCAGCATAAGTTTCAGTTCACAAACAATCCTTTCTTTATCACCCAATATGATAATATGTTTGCAAACACTTCAATGACCTTGACCTACAAATTGTGATCGGTATGTGTTATGATTTATATATCAGTAAACAAACTATTTGTAGCAAATTATATAAAATGTATTAAAAGAACAAAAGATCCGTGTTAAACACAGTTCAAATTCTGAGTTTTCAGGTTACTATGATACCAATGTTAAGAAAGATTTAAACAAGACATGGGCTAAGCTGTTCAACATTTGTCAGGGTTCTGAGTGGTGCTATACTGCTATGAAAACAAAAATAGAAAGAGAAACATATATTAGGTCACGTGAGAGAAATCATAGGCTTTGACATGTGACTTTTGATCTTAATCGTCGTTATGGTAATTTATAATAACATGTTTACAGTGGTGGAGGCTGACTGACGCCACAGATTTCGTCACTTAAATAAAGGTTTATAAATAGTTTCATTTTTGTCGTTAGAGCTAAATCTGTAACTGATCATGATAAAATAAAATTAGCAATAGATTTATTAGACTAGAATCAAAGTTTAATCATGAACGAAAGAAAATTGTTAAACGGAAACAGACGTCTAATACTTGAACGTTTTGGAATATAATAATTTCCTGATTCATCCTTGTTCGTGATGAATTATAAACCCACTCACATGAAAAGTACAGGACTGTGACTGAACGCACTGATCTGGCTTCATATTTATGAAACTGCAACAGACATTTAATACTTGAACGTTTCGGAATTATAAACCCACTCTCATGAAGAGTACAGGGCTGTGGTTAAACGTACATACTTGGTTTTCTGTTTATGAAGAGGCAACAGACATTTAACATTTGGAGTTTAGGAATACACATATTTCGATGTCAGCAAGCTATATGAAATATGGCAAACGATAAGATACAAGAATTTCTAAACTTATATAAAGTTACAACATTTTGTAACGGAGAATTAAAATAAAGTAAAAGACTTAAGTAGTTTCTTGAGATAGGCGTAGATAATCAGACAATGAACTCTTAATTAAGTAAATTTGTTCGCAATTAAGCACAAAGCTACACAATGGACTATCTGTGCTCTGCCCACCACGGGTATCGAAACCCGGATTCTAGCGTTGTAAGTTCGCAGACATACCGCTGTGCTAGTGGGGGACAGTTAAGTAAATAAAGTATATTTCTTATAAAGTGACTTCCTACTCCACATAATAACACAACTTTATTTCAGTTCACGTTTTTCTAAATAACTTGTATAATTGTACAAAAACTATTATATTGTACATATATGTTGAGCTCTATACCTATTCCATTTTTTATAACTCGTTTCATTATTTTACTATATTTTAATCTGTCATTATAAAATGCTGTAACTTCATATATTTAGAATACTTATGCTGATGCATATGAACACTCCTGAAGTTTCTAAAAAGTATATATGCATATACAGAGTGTACATACAATTAGCATCTTTCAGTACTCAAACCAGGTACAAGATATTAGACTTTATATTCAAAAACTAGGCGTGCACAGTTTGTTTAGTATTGTTTACATTTTACTTTTCTTATTTAGCATTTTTGTTTGCTAAATGGACGCTTTGGTGTTCCAGAAATGTTGGAGAAATACAGGACTTGTTTATCAGAAAACAAAAACGATATCAATATAACAATTTCAATTGTATATCTACATCAAAGATTAGCCCGGCATGGCCAGGTGGTTAGACTCGCAATCTGAGAGTCGCGGGTTCAAATTTCCCGTCCCGCCAAACATCCTCACTCTTTCAGCGTTATAATGTGACGGTCAATCCCACTATTCGTTGGTAAAAGAGTAGCCCAAGAGTTGGCGGTGGGTGGTGATGACTAGCTGCCTTACACTGCTAAATTATGGACGGCTAGCGGAGATAGCCCTTGTGTAGCTTTGCGCGAAATCCATAACAAATATTATCGTACGTTTTTCTTTAGAATTCCATAATGAATCAGACGAACAAACGATAGTTAGGAATTTAAGTTGTTTGTGTATATGTATTGTTTATTTTGAGATAGAATAATCTAAAAATAAATACTTTTATAAAAACACATTTCTAGAAGACGCATTCGAAGTGGCTGAATTGCTTAGAGATATTCTCGCATGATTTATGCCCCAATTCTATATCAAATGCCTTGTTTTTTTGTTCGAACTATGTTTTAAGGGTGTTTTGTGTTTTAATCGATTGTGCGTTTCAAGTATTAGTTTTATGCTCTGAATGTATATTTTTGTCCTAATTTAGTTGTTTCCTTTCTCCTACATAATTTGGCTGTTAACGATATGTTTTAATTATACATCCTGTTTACTAACTATGATTTGTGTTCTAATTACATGATTTATATTCTAACTGTAAGTTTTGCAATAAAATTATCACGTGCTCTAATTAGTTGTTTTATGTTATCGTCATAGTTTGACCTTCTACGTGTTCTACGTGAATTATGGGTTTTCTGTTAGAAGGTTTTTTTTATTCTAAGGGCCTTATGTTTTGTATAAAAGGTCTGTATTCTAATTCTGTTTTATTTTCTGATTACGTGTTTGAGATCTAATTATATGTTTTAATGATTTTTGTTTTATGCTTATGTATTCCGTATTCTCATTATATGCTTTTATAACGTTAACTTTTCGTCTTGTGTGACTACAGTTCAATCTAGTTAAAGAAATTATTATTTAAATGAGTATTTAATTATAAATTTGATATCTTTTACTTCACTACGCCTACCCGCAGCATATTGGGGCTGGTAGCCAATTACTTGGAACATTAGTAGGAGCTTCAACATGATTGGTTGTAGTTATTAGAAGTTGATTGAAGAGAATAATTCGTAACAAGGCCAAACAAATTCTACTTCGTTTGCCTGCCAACCACCAGTAGGCTGTAAAATTTTATCAGGCGCAGATAAATAACAGTTACCTAAAAACAATTAGAAGTTCAAAGATGAAATTATGGCTCTGTGTATTCCTATTTTCCGTTTTTTCTTCTTATACAGCTGCAACTTTGGTGCATATTCAAGACTGTGGTAAGTTTACGATCTCTATGTATATTATTGTTGCACAGTTTTCAAGTGAAGCTACTTATAGAAGCAAAATGTGATGGTTAAACAACTATATAATCGAGAAATATAAAACTATAGACCAGATTTTTGGAAAAGATGTAATTAGCAGAAGTGATATCGATATGAACGAATTTAAATGACCAAATGGCTTGCACTTTCTTCTTTAAAGTAAAAGCTCAAAGTTGTTGCAAAATTCTACTAATTTGTTTTTCAAATATGCAGTATAAACGTAGATTTTCTCTATAAATCGACTTTCTCTAGATTTTTTACTCACTTAAAATTTTTGAATTTTCCATGGCCTACTTTTAATCCTATTTATATAAGAACCAAAGTAGCCTTTTCCGTACATATTAGAGAATGAATCAGTTCTAACTTTCATGATATCCATTATAAAGTCTAACAGGCAGCATAATTTAGGACATCAAAAAACAACAACAACAAAAAACAAAAAAACTAGTAATCACACATCAGTACTTAGAAGCAGGGGAATCGAAGTCACGAGAGGTGGCATTGCAGTGATACGTATTGAATATTTACTTACTTCAATCATTTCAAAATTAGGAGTAATAAAATACGTAAAAAGTAGTATACAGTAAAAAAAAAAACTACAGAAAAACACTAAAAATCAAAATCAATTGGTACACAAATTATGTTCTGAAATGTTTGAAGATATTTAGGTGCAAAGAAAGATATTTCTGTTTTTACATAGAATCGGTTATGCTTCTTTTGTACGATATTTTAAGGGTAATTGACTTTATATAAGGTAACATTTATGAATATTTCTCATGGGAAAGTAACACGAGGCAATACACAATAATAGAATGTAGTTCACGATTTGTAGTACAAAGTAAGAATATTTAACAGATTTGAAACAGAATAGCCATATGCAAAACCCAACTTGTAGCATATAATGAGAGAATATATTTCTTAATGCATAACGCATAAAACATAGACTTTGCCATAATGTAGCACAGATAGCAGAAATTATACCTCGCTATGTAGCACACAGTAACAGAGATTAGGCACTATTATGTAGCACACAGTAACAGATATTAGACACTATTATGCAGCACACAGTAACAGATATCAGACACTATTATGTAGCACACAGTAACAGATATTAGACACTATTATGTAGCACACAGTAACAGATATTAGATACTATTATGTAGCACAAGTAACGGATATTAGATACTGCTATGTAGCACACAGTAACAGATATTAGACACTATTATGTAGCATACAGTAACAGATATTAGTAACCATTATGTAGCATACAGTAACAGATATTAGACACTATTATGTAGCTTAGAATAGCAGACATTAGTCACTGTTATGATGTTAGAAAAACACGTAGGTTCAAGAAGTCTTGACACAAATGATAAAAACCCTATAACCTCAGCCCTTTCGAAAGATGTACCTTTCTTCTTCAGGGGCAACATTGCCAGTTTGCCCCTGCAGAAGAAAGATCTACCTTTCGAAAGCGCTCGGGTTATAGGATTTTTATCATTTTGCATTTGTCACTGTTATGTAGCTTAAAATAACAGAGATTAGACCCCATTATGTAGCATATAGTAACAGAGATTAGACCTAATTATATAGCATATATTAACAGAGATTAAACCTCATTATTTAACATTTAGTAACAGAGATTATACTTCATTATGTAGTATATAGTAACAGAGATTAGACCCCATTATGTAACATTTAGTAACAGAGATCAGACCCCATCATGTAACATATAGTAACAGAGATTAACCTCATTATGTAGCATATAGTAACAGAGATTAACCTCATTATGTAGCATATATTAACAAAAATTAGACCTCATCATGTAGCATATAGTAACAGAGATTAGACCTCATTATGTAGCATATCATAACAGAAATTAGACCTCATCATGTAGCATATAGTAACAGAGATTAGACCTCATCATGTAAGCATATCATAACAGAAATTAGACCTCATCATGTAGCATATAGTAACAGAGATTAGACCTCATTATGTAATATTTAGTAAGAGGCATTAGTTGCCATTATTTAGCACAGTTATAGAGATTAAACCTCATTATTTAACATTTAGTAACAGAGATTAGACTTCATTATGTAGCATATAGTAACAGAGATTAGACCCCATTATGTAGCATTTAGTAACAGAGATCATACCTCATCATATAACATAGTAACAGAGATTAACCTCATTATGTAGCATATAGTAACAGAAATTAGACCTCATCATGTAGCATATAGTAACAAAGATTAGACCTCATCATGTAGTATATTGTAACAGAGATTAGACCTCATTATGTAACACATAATAACAGAAATTAGACATCATTATGTAGCATATAGTAACAGAGATTAACCTCATTATGTAGCATACAGTAACAGAGATTAACCTCTTTATATACCATATAGTAACAGAAATTAGACCTCATCATGTAGCATATAGTAACAGAGATTAGATCTCATTATGTAGCATATAATAACAGAAATTAGACCTCTCATGTAGCATATAGTAACAGAGATTAGATCTCATTATGTAGCATATAATAACAGAAATTAGACCTCTCATGTAGCATATAGTAACAGAGATTAGACCTCATTATGAAGCATATAATAACAAAAATTAGACATCATTATGTAGCATATAGTAACAGAGATTAACCTCATTATGTAGCATACGGTAACAGAGATTAACCTCTTTATATACCATATAGTAACAGAAATTAGACCTCATCATGTAGCATATAGTAACAGAGATTAACCTCTTTATATACCATATAGTAACAGAAATTAGACCTCATCATGTAGCATATAGTAACAGAGATTAGACCTCATTATGT